AGTCTCTGCAAGGAACCTAGCAATGAGAATCAACAAACCCTCAAACCTCACAGTGCCTCAAAACCAATACACCTGTGAAACTTACTGTCTAAAGGGGAAAAGAACCTTTACCCCAAACATCACTGCTAAGTGCCTGAAGGAAGAGGGAGCGTCTGTGGGGTGGCAGAGCCCGTCTCCTGCATTTCCCTGCCTCCAGAGAACGTTACCCAACACAACATGCCACTGTCTCTTTCAACTCTCCCTCTCCTTTCACTGCTTTTGTACAATCTGTCACCAACTTCTGTTGCTGATTTCTCTGAAATGCCATTTGCACCCTTCCTCTTCTGTCTTGCCTTAGTGCCACTACCTTTTCTGATGTTGTGGCCATACCCTGGGAGTTGAGGTGCCAAGTCCAGGCAAACCTTGCATCTGTCCATCTCTGCCAGATGTACATTCTGAAAACTCAGCTTTCATTTGGTCACATCTCTGCTCAAGAATCATGGGGGCTCTGGAGGCCCTGCCAAGACCAACTTACTCCCTATACTCACCTAGCTTTATCTCCCAGAACTCCCCATTATGTGCCCTCTATTCTAGCTGCCTTCCTGTTTATTTGTGCCTTTTGAGACAAGTTGTATGACTTCTGGAATGTCTTTCCCTCTCACCTGCCACCTCCTCAACAGGATCCTATTGAATCCGATCCATTCCTTCAGTTGGTTCATGTGGACCAAGCTGAGCATGTAGGGGAAGAGAGAGACAGGAAGGGCAGAGTTAGGGGCCTGGTGTTTTCCCAGTCCTGTTTTTCTCTTGTGGTTCCCCTACCATATTCTGACTCCATCACATGGAAATGCTTTTCTGCAGCACCGACCCAGGCACAAAGGCACCATCAGCTGGATTGCCCTGGACCATCCAGTTGTGGGAGGAAGGAGCTTATCTGCCCTCAGCTGGGTGGGCTGTCTTGATCTTCCAAGCCAGAAGGGGGAAAAAACTGACGTCGCTAATGTTTACTCCCCTGTTGCTTCTTAGGAAAGACTTAACAACTCCCAAGTGAATGCATCAAGCTCTGGGATTTCTGAGAGATGGATGGTGGGTTTGCCAAAAGAAAGAGTGCCAAGTTGGGTCTCTGGAAAGAATCCAGTGTTCCATAAACCTTGCCTCTTCCCTAATCATAGAAAGATCCATAAAATGATAGAAAGGCAGCGGAGAATGCAGGCAGCAGAATGACATAGAAGCATCATTCTGTGCTTCCTGAAAAACAGAAAATGCAGATGGAGACAAATTTCATCCTCTGCCCCACCCTCCACTGCAGTGTGTTGCTCTATGAGAGATCTGCTCTGCACGCACAAAGTGGGGGGAACTTTGGAAGAGTCTCTTGAAGGTGGTACAGTAAAAAGTGAGTTGTCTTTGGAGATTTTCTTACTTCTCTGCCAATAGGTGACTAGAAAGGTGACCATGATGGGCAAAAGTGGCAGGGAGGAAGGTGAGCACCTCCTATGTTTCCTGCCACCTTGAAGGGAAAAGGTTTACCAATGGAATAGGGGAGGTGGAGGGCAGGGGACTGCCTCCTCTTCTTCCACTTGAAGCACCATGAAAGAAGAAACGCTTTCATCTCCACGTTAGCAGGTGGATTGAGTAAGGGGTTCTCTGTTTTTTATAACTTTCCCTAGAGGCGTAGGAAAAGCTGGTGAAAGCAGCAGGTTGGAATATCCCCATCTCATGCCTTGTGCTGGAAGATGGATGAAGATGAGAAGAGGTAAACTAAAAATACTTCCTCAAGCACACACACACGTGCACACACAAGAGAGAATGAACAAGAGACTGAAAAGGAGAAAATACAAAACAAATCTCTTTAGGCAGTTATATTAATGTGATAATAACAACATCAACATTAATTGTTTTACACATGCATTTATATTTTAAAACACTGGAGTTCATTATTTAGCAATATTCTTACAACAAATAATCCAATCAGGTAATAACCAAAATAACAGCTACCATTTACTAAATGATTACCAGGATCACCTCTCATGTGTTATTATACTGAATCTTCATAAACCCCTATGGTACTATTGTTATCCCCATTTTACAGAGTGGGAAACTGAGGTTGGAGATGTTAAATAACTCGCCCATGATGTGGAGACTGAAACTCAGGTCTGTCCAGTTCCAGAGTCCAGCCTTTTACTCTTACAATGTCCATCTTATGGCAGGGCTTTTCCACAAATTCAGGAAATGGAAAGGCATGGACGAGGAAACAGCCTTTATGACTCAATTCCCTGTGAGGCAGATACACACACACATATAAGTTCTCCAAGAGGTCCCACTCTGCTGTACTTCTCAGTTACACCCATTCAGCTTTCATAGATACAGGTCCATGGATGAATGTCAAGTTTCTTGTAGGGACAAAGGTCAATCTCTAAGGAGAACATACCTCTCATCTAACCTGCATCTGAATCCGCAACAACGGTTTCCATTTGACAGGATGCAGCCCTAGCAAGGTGGTGAATTAACATCCAGCTTTGAAGCACTGTCATACAGGAGAATACTTTAAGACGGAATATAATGAGTGAGACTGAATGACATTTAGCAGAATGGCTTGTGACATTAAAATACATGTTTGACTTGTGAGATTTAAGCACACGCAGAAAGAAGTGACTGCAGAAAACAGTAAGGCGCAAACAAATGGTGACAGCTCACGAGAGCAGGCTGCGCTGTTCTTCATGGGGTCCATCTGACCTTAGTGATGTTTGCTGTCAGCTACACAGAGGCCTTCTGACACAAACTGACCGTGAATATAACCGGGATATTAAACACTGGGGCAGGCTGGAGAGAGAAAACAACAGGGTGCGGAAGAATTCTTTTCCTTCCCTTTCACCGAAGTACCAGGGATTCTGAAGATACTCCTCCTTCCCCCGGCTTCTCCTCCTTCCTCTTTCTCTAAGCCTCCTTATCCTCCTCCCCCTTCTCCCTCAACCCCTTAACTTCAACCAGAAGAAGAGATGGAGGGTTGGGCAGGGTAGCACAGAGAATGCTGTTCTTGGGATTTTGAGAGAGTTAAGTGTCAGTGTCAATGTCTCCCTCCCGCTTGCGCTCTCGAAATAGATACACACAAAACACCTACTGGAACTTTTAAATGATGACAGGAGATCCACAAGCCACCTGTGAAGCAAAATCTCAGCACTTTATAGTCACAGAAACATATAGGCATGCAAAGGGCTCATGTTTATGAATTATATCCACATATACCTACGCAAAGCAGGTGGCTCTCGCACACACACAGGAACCCTCAAATACAAACATCTTGGCATTTCCTTTCCGCCAGCCTTGACCCTTCCCACCCACCCAAAGGTGCTGGCCACAGCCACCCTCTGTGGGGCCAGATGCAGGGTGAAGGGCGTCACTAGGTTCTGGCTACTCCGGCTGTGAGACGTGGGCAAGCCCTTTACTCTATGGGAATCTTTGTAAAATGAAAAGAACTGCCTGGCCAGGGGCTGTGAGTATGAAAGGGTATTAATAACACACACAGGGCGCTGTCCTGCTTGGTTCCCGAACCTCCCTTTCCTACACCCATGGCTGGAATGATGGTGACTTCTGTCACTTGGTCCCCACCGTCAGTATTCTAGTGTGACACTGGGAAGAGTGGGGGGCTTAGCCAGGGCCGCGGTCTGTACAGGAGGGTCCCAGCCCGCAGGTCCCGGGACTGCAGGCCCAGGGCTAACCTTCAGAGCTGCACGAGCGCCGGGAGCCGTGGGCACGTACGGAGGGCGAGCCGGTCCCAGGTGCGTAGACCCGTGGGTGGGGGGCGGAGCGGGCCAGTGGAGGTGGGCAGAGCCCGGCGGCAAGTCGACCCACGGCTGTGGGTGGCTTCCTCCTGTTGCTCAGGATCAGGGAGTGGCGGGGGAGGACATTCTTTTTTTTTTTTCTTCCCTAAGTAAGCATCCACCTATTTCCACCTATTGCTTTAATAACTATCGATTGTGAAAAGTCGGTGGGGCCTCTTAAAGGAGAAGACCAGCTCCGCGCCCCCGCGTCTGTGTTCGGGACTCGTCCGCGGGGACCTTCTGGACCTTCTCTGCCGGCTGCGCGGCAGCGATGGACGAGCGCCTGTGCACGGGCTCGCCTAGCAGCCTCGGGAACCGCAGCTGCAAGATGTGGTTTGACCCCTGCCCCATCCACTCGCGAGGCCTTTTCTGCTCAGAGCCCCCAGTCACGTTCTGGGACCCAGTCACCTGCTCCGCAGCGCAGTCCCGGCGACCCAGGTTCGAGGACCGGGCCCGCGCTCGGAAAGTTATTTCAAAAGGCAGATGTGTTGCAACCCTCTCTGCAGCAAACTACAGTACGCGGATTCCCGAACCCTTCCCCGCCCCCACCCAGCCCGGGCGACCAGAGCCCGCCGCAGGAGACTGGCAGCAAGGAGAGCCACCCCTGAATGCACCTTCCCTTCCTCCCGCGCGCCCAAGTGCAATGGGGTTGGGGGAAGACCCAAAGCAAACTCACGGCGCGGAGCAACCGCCAGTCGTCCTGGCCGGGAAGGGGTCCGGCTGCTGAGGATCGGCTTCCCGATTTCATGCCCCAGCCTCCCCTCCTCCCCAGCCCCAGCCCACCAGGCTGGGCCGTCGCGGCCCCTCGGTACCTGCGGCGGTCACGGGCTCCCCCTCGCTCTGCTCCCCGGAATCTGAATCCATGCTGCGGGTTGCTGACTGGGCGTCCACGGCCACCCGCCCGTCTGCGGGGCGCTCGGGCAGCCGCGGCGCACTCAGTGCGGACAGCGGAGCGGCTGGAGCCCGGGCGGCGCGGGCTGGGCGGTGCGCCGCGGCAGCGGCCAGGGGGCGGCTCCGCAGAGGCGAGCGCCGCCCGCGCCCCGCTCCCCGCGTCCGCCGGCCGGTGCCTGTGCGCGAGGCGAGCGCAGGGCGGAGGGTGGGGCGCGCCGGGAGAGAGATGGGAGGAGGGAGGGGAGGCGGGAGCGCGGAGGAGCCAGAGCGTCCGGCGCCCAGTGGGCTCCAGGCTGGGGTTAAATACCCCGGGGGCGGCGCCGCGCCTCCCTACCCGCGCCCTGCGTCGGAGCCCTTGGACTTCCCCCGCGCGGCGAGGTTGTGCTGGTCTTGCAAGGCCGAGCCCCTTCCCTAGGGTGAGGCCAAGTTTGTAAGATTCCTAGGTGAAAAAGCGCTTCAACTCGCGCAGGAAAGGAGAGGTTCCGAGTGTTCCGAGTTATGGGGCTGCCAGGGTTCGAGTCCAACTCCACCGCTCAGAGACCTTGGATGAGACCCGTGTTTTCTCACTAGGCAGATGAGGGAAGGGGGCGGGGGGGGGAGTGATAAGGGAAAGGGGCGGGGTGGGGGGAAATGACAGTTTCCTCGTAGGACTGTTGTCGGAAGTAGTAAGACAAGGCATGTGCGGGACAGAGCGCAGGGCCTGGCACCTAGCGACGAAGTAAAGACACAGGCAGGTAATGCTAACTCTGGCTGTTTGAATCTTCTCCCGGCGCGGGCAGGGCAGGTGGGGCAAGCGGTGGTGAAGCTGGTTCCGGGGGCTCGGTGAGTCCGAACCCTGACTCGCCTGGAAGGCTGGAGTCACCCTGCCAATCAAGCAGCCGTGCCACTTCGCGCCCGCGACTAGAGAGGGGCCGGAATAAATTTTAAAAGCTTTTCTTTGTAGATGGGATTAAACACAGAGTGCTAAACTTCCGTAACACCCTCCTTTCTGAAAGGCGGTGGGGAAGCATTTGTAAACCTATTTACTAATTAAGAGCCAAAACGAGGGAGGAAATGCACGGAGCACTGAGGCCTTTTTTTGTTGTTGTTAATTCTTGGTTATCTATATGCTCTTGTTGTCTCCCTATTATAGGCTCCTACACTCACAAAGCCTCAAGATGGGTTCTCTGCATGTCAAGTCTGCCCAGAGAGTGCAAACTATTGGCCGGAGCAAAAGAAAATCAAGAAGAAAAAGTCTACTAAAAAGCGCCACTTACTGAACGTTTCCCTTTGTGTCCTCATGTAATCTGTACAATGACCCAGTGAAGAATTAAGGTTGCACCATTTGAAAATACTTTTTGGAAGTAGAAAATGGTTGACAGTTGGCAAGTTCATAGAATTCAACTTATTTTCACTCCCATTTTACAGATGGGAAAAGTCTCAGAGAAAGCAGATGATGTCCCTGTGGTCTCAGGTCATCCAGTAGGTAGGTGAGCTGGGACTTGAAATCAGGACCTTCTGATGTCCAGATCTGCTCCTGACTGCTATGATATAGTGTCATAAGTGAGTTTTGGCTTCTGGTCTACCTGAGGGCTGCCTTCTTTAGTGAAGTGTGGGCTTAACAGAGTGCAACTACCACTCTACTTTGTGTTTGCAGAAAACAAAGGATGGCCAAGCTCAGGGACTCTAGTGATAAAAGTTGGATGGATATTGATGAAATGGTCAAAAGAACCCCACAGTGGATGTGTTATCTTGGGCAAATGGCTAAATGTCCCTCGATTTCCTCAAGTGTTGGTGTCTCCTTCATAGGGCGTTTGTAAATAAATTAATGAGTGTGAAAGCTATGCCTGGCACACAGTGAATGTTTGATAACTGGAAAGAACACTAATTCTTATATCGAATGGATCCCATTTAGAAAAACAAAATATTTTAGAATTGCATTTTTTAATGAAAAAAACTGGGGGCCGGGCGTGGTGGCTCACGCCTGTAATCCTAGCACTTTGGGAAACCGAGGCGGGCAGATCATCTGAGGTTGGGAGTTCGAGACAAGCCTGACCAACATGGAGAAACCCCATCTCTACTAAAAATACAAAATTAGCCGGGTGTGGTGGTGCACGCCTGTAATCATAGCTACTCACGAGGCTGAGGCAGGAGAATCTCTTGAACCCGGGAGGTGGAGGTTGCAGTGAGCCAAGATCATGCCATTGCACTCCAGCCTAGGCAACAAGAGCAACATGCTGTCTCAAAAAAAAAAAAAAAAAAAAAAAAGAAAGAAAAAAGAATGGCAAAATTTGGATACAAGATGATTCTCAAAAAACAAATAGTTGGGATCATTTAAAAAGTTTGCTATAATAGCTTTGCAGTCATAAGGTAAAATAACAATGATAGCTTCACAGAACAGAGCATATGGGATTGAAAAGGCATTCAGCTTCCTCTAAAGGTTGTGCCTAGATTCAATAACAGGAAATGTGAAACTTTCCCTATTTCCTTAGATCTCCTTTCCTTGCACTTCATGGAAGCTTTTTTGGTTTTGTTTGTGTTTTAATGTACAGGTAGCCTGGGTTGCAGTGTGAGGGAGACAGACCACAGAGACATGTATGGGTAACAGCAAAAAAGAAATGGAGAAACTGCTGGAATTTGATCAACAGTAAACAATGTACTGAGAACACACATTTACAACACATGTATGCTCATCAGTCATCAGGTCTTCACTAAGTATCTAGTACATTTTGACCCAGAGAGAAATGCTTGGGGCATGCGGGGGGTGAGAAAGAACTGGTCAAGGTATCCTGAAAAGTCTTTGAGTTAAGTTCTTAGATAATGCCTATTAATTTACCTGCACCTATATTCATTCATAGTATATTTCTGCGAAAGGAGGCAGACATAGAATGAAAAATTGAATTGAATATGGAATTAGACAATGGGGAAGAGAGATCCAAACTAAATAAGGTCTTCATTCCAATTTCCTATGATGTGCAATCTGTTGTCATGGGACAGCAAGACAAAGGGAAATGACTATTGGCACGCGTGTGAATTTAATGAGGAACATTAGTGGAACATACCTTATCTCTCCTCCCAGTATGGAAAAATCTGTGTAAGAGAAGGAAGTCCTTAAAATAGTATCCTATGACCATCACCCCAACTAAAACAGTGAAATCTGAGGTGGTAAATCTCCTTTTACAAACCAGTTCTGATGTATTTCTTGGGGGGAAAAAAAAACTCTTAAGAAACAGAAAAGGGGAAAGGGTTTCTGTAGTTCCTCTGTATATTTTTAGAAAAATGGCATCACTTTGCAGACTTGAATCTAGAGTCTGAGGGTTATAAACCAACTTCCTCAGTGTTTCCACTACATCTTTTCAGCCTGGCAGCTCTTCAGATATACGAGTTTCTACCACTCATTGGTCATTTCTTAACTCGAGTGAACAAAATTGTTGGCTTTTTAAGGAAATTGCCTGTCTGGTGGGTAAAGCATATCTATTTGTAAGGTGTCAAGAAACAGATAATAAAATAGATCCATTTCTGCTAACACAATAATACTCCTTTAATCTGAGCCAGTGCTATGACTCATCTGCCTGTCTCCTCTTGTGGGATGGAAAGGGAGCTGTCTGCAAACCTTCAGCAGTGGGAGGAGGGAGGGAGATACTTTTCACATGTTAGGGCTGCTGCTCTGCTTTGAAAACCCACCAACTCTAGAACTGCTGTTTTCTCTAGGCTGAAGAGGCCTTTGGTCCTTAGAGGTGAGAGGTTGGCCCTATTTTTGATAATTTATCTCAAGGTAGACTTTGATCCCGAGGAAGCTTCTACCCAGAGCTAAGGAGGCCTCCATGGACTGTAGGTAAGCTGGAGAGCAGGGTCCAAGCTAGCTCAATGTCCATCTAACAGAACAAGGTGCTAGAAGACAGCCTTGAAAAAGGGAGCTTTTCCTATTTCTTTCTTGCCAGTAAAAATAAGCTTTAATTAGTCCCCCCTCTTGTTTAAAAAGTAATGCACATTACTAGAAAAATTGGAAAATACATATAAACAAAAAAGAAGAAAATAAATTAATTCGTAATTTTACCAGTTGCAATCATGGTTAACGTATGTTTTAAAAAGTTTCCTTCTATATGTGTACAGTATTCGGCTTTTATAAGTTACTTTTTCCTTTTAACAATATGTTGGGAACATCATTTCATCTACTCTTTGATAACATGATTTTTAATAGCTGTACAATTTTCTACTGGATGAGTACACCATATGTATTTAAACAATCCTCTATTGTTGAGCATTTAGGTTGTTTACAATTTTCTGCTATAATAGTATCAATCAATATCCTCATGTCTAAATCTTTGCACACATCACTAATCAATGCCTGTGAACTTTCAGCAGCCTCCTTGGTTTACCTTGGGAGAGAGAAACAAGAAAGAAAATTGCAGCTAACAAAATAGTTGTTGTATATATCCCAAGACTTTAAGGTTATCAAGACTTTTCATGGGTATAATCTCCACTAGGCAGTGGGTGGCTTATTTGAGTTCATTCTTGCATTTGTCCAGCATCAATTGAGCCCAGAGGGGATTTCTATAGGTTTAGGAGAAGAATACAAAGTTTCCTTCCACACTTTCTTTGTGGGCAATGTGTCCTCTGCACAGCCCCATCCAAGTCCAGACCCCTTGTAGGAGGCAGAGGGTGGATGAGGCTGGCAACTTTGTCATTCAGCTATTCTCCTGGGTTCTTAGCTTCTGTTTCTTGAGCTGCTGCCGGCAGGATAGCTTTCTGTGTGGTTAATGCAGTTATAGTGACTCAAAAGCACTGATCCAAAGGGAGAGGGAAATTGGGAAGGAGAAAGGGAGAAGAGAAAGAGGGAGAGAGAAGAAAACTCTATGGGCCCAACCTCTGTTGTGCCCTAGCCCAACCCTATGGGGTTATTTATAAGCCCTTGAAACGGCAGCACCAGGATCTTTGGTTCAGCCCCACTGGGAGCCTCCCTGATCACATATGGTGTGTGATCTCATTTGTGGCATTCATTTTGGCTGTGGGATGTGACTCCACTGCTGTATGAGAGCTGTTCTTACGAGCATCTACACAGCTTGTATGTGGGTACCCTAAGTGACTGCTGAGCTCTGCCCAGTGCCTTCCCATCTTCCTGGATCCTTACACAGCTCTATGGCATAGAAAAGGCCAGTATTATTCCCACAGGGGAGAAGATGGAATCAAGACCCATGAGGCTTCAGTGGCAACTAGAGTCTTTATGGTTTTCAGGATGATAGGAAAGTACCCAAAGACTGGGTGGGGCAATGTTACCCCAGTTTTCAAAGAGAAGAAAGGAGTTGATTCCAGATTTAACAAATTGGTGACTTTTTTGTTGCTGTCTAGCAAAAGTCTGGAACAAAGAGGTTTATAAGCATTTAAAGAAGAGAATTCTGATCACCAGCAGCCAACATGGGTTCCTTACCATGTCCTGCTAAAATAACCATATTAACTTTCTTTAAACAGAGTCATGAAGTGTATAAATCAAGATAATTTTATTTTACTTGGTATGTATCAAGTATTTGTTGAGTACCCTCTGTGTTTCAGGTGCAAAATGAAGGGAAGTGACTGTCACAGATACCATATATTGTGATTTAAGTTTTGAGGAGGTCTTACACAGTTTCCTTGCTGCTAGGTGGATCTGGAGCTGGTTGAACAATCCTACGCAGTGAGCTTTGATTCATGGGCTTTGAGTTAACTAGGAGGGAGGTCTCCAGTGGAGTGACACAGAACTCTGCACTTGGCTCTAGTTTATTGTACTTTTTTTTTTTTTTTTAAGACAACAACAAGAGTAGTGATTTAGGGAAAGAATTTGATGCTTGTGCTTATCAATGGTATAGATTACCATACTAACGCAGGTCAGAGAAGACAAAATCGTGTGGGAAAGACATGTGGGTCTTAGTTGTCTATAAGAGCAACATGAGTCAACAGTGGGATAATAACTGTATTGCTACAATAAGGGCAGGAATAGTTCTTCTGTATTGGAGCTAGTCTTATAGACACCTGGGGTCTTATGAACATCTGGTGCCACATTTTAAGGGACATATCAGGAATCTCCCCAAGGTGGGGGAATCAAGATGTTGAAAGCGGCTTGGAAACCATTCTGTATGAGAAAGTTTGAATGTCAGGCTGGAGAAGGCCAAAACACAAAACCAAAAACAAAAACAAAAAAATCCAAAGAAGGCATGACTGGATTCATGTCCTTAAATGTGTAAAGACTTGGCTTCTAGGCTGATGTGGGACTAATGGATAAAAATTATAAGAAGGGAGAATTTGGATCTTGTGCCAGTCCTGGCCTGCCTGTCCTTGCCCTTTCCATCCTCTGTATGGAAAAGGGGCTGACCCCTACAGGCTGCATTTGCCAGGCCCCTGTACTAGCTGGTTTCTAGCTGGATAGAGCCAGTGGGAGGCACTGGCAGAAGATGGGCAGGTTGGGGAAGGAATATTCTCCCCTATCCTCTGTCCCTCAATCTTGGCACCTTTGACAATTGCTGTATCTCCTCTGTGGCTCCAGCTCCCACCGAATGGACCTACTGTGGTTCCAGCTTTCATGAGGTGATACCAACCCCTTGGCTCCAGTAACAGCAACTCCTCCCTTTTCTCCTCCAGCCCAGGGTGGCAGTGACTTCATGCTGTTGCTAATGTCTAGGTTACCTCACTATCCTCTGGCTTCTCAAACCTGTGTAGCCAGTTCCCTGCATTGCATGATCTCCTTTGAAAATATGTAAAAAAAGGGCGGGGCGCGGTGGCTCACGCCTGTAATTCCAGCAGTTTGGGAGGCCGAGGCAGGCGGATCACTTGAGGTCAGGAGATCGAGGCCAGCCTGATCAACATGGAGAAACCCTGTCTCTACTAAAAATACAAAATTAACCGAGCGTGGTGGTGCATGCCTGTAATCCCAGCTACTCGGGAGGCTGAGGCAGGAGAATTGCTTGAACCCAGGAGGCTGAGGTTGTGGTTAGCCAAGATCACACCATTGCCCTCCAGCCTGGGCAACAAGAGCGAAACTCCATCTCAAAAAAAAAAAAAAAAAAAAAAAGAAAAAGAAAAGAAAAGAAAATATGTAAAACATTTTCTTAGTTAGACCTCATTGATACACATGTACCAGTGGTACAGGAATAAGAAAGTGTTTTTTAATGATTACAACTGGATGACCATGGGTAGGGGTATTGTGGGAGGCTGGAGTCCACGACTTTTAGGATTCCTTTGGAAATTCACACATGGAAAGGAAATGATGTGTCCAAGTCCTGGGAGTGGCAGAGCTGAGACTAGAGCTCAAGGCTCCTGATCTCCAGACAAGCAGGCTTTCATCTGATGCTGACTCTTCTCCTGCGCATGTCTTTAAAAATATCCTCCCGTGGTTTATGTTAATCATCCTTCTGATCTGTGGAAGGGAAAATTGAATCTCCTAAATTTGTTTTTTCTTTTAATTCTCTAATGTTTATGTGACAACCCAGTTCAATAATGCTTACTCACTAATTATTTTACAGAACAAATATCGCTCGCCAAGTGTTGAGTGGAACCTTTTGTTCCTCCCTTCAAAGCATTTTCTACTTAGAAAAGCTAAATACATGTTCCAATCTGGACGGTTCCATTTTTGTAAGTCTCTGATTTCATAACATCTACGCCCAGTCGAGGGCTGTAGAAGGGGGAAGAAATGTTCAAGGTCACCTAGTCTAACCCCATCACTTTAGATATGAAGAAATAAATCTAGAAAGATGGAGTGGTTTGCCCAGAGTTAGGAACAACTGGGACCAGAACCCATGTCTCTGGCCCTATTTCAGGATTTCCCATCATATTACCATGCTCCTTTATGGCCTGTGTACTCAAGCCCAGGACAGCAGTGACTTCCTGCTGCTTCCTTTACTACATCCAGTTTTCATTTGGTTTACACCCTCACTTCCCAAATCTCTCTCCCCAGTACTGATCTTTCCTCTCCTTTTACCTCCTGTACACCAGTGTTCTAGTAGATCATATACATCTGGAATGGAATTAACAAAAGCAGGACTTGACCAATACCTCTTTTCAATTTCTTCATCTCATCAAAGACTCTCTCTCCTCTCCTCCCCTCCTCTTTCCTCCCCTTCCCTCCATCTCCCTCCCTTTCCCTTCCCTTTTCTTCTTTTCTGGGTTTTCAAACTTTCCATTCCTCTCTTCTATCTATCCAACATTTTCTTTCCCGCCAAGTCTTCCCTTGGCATTGTCCTTAAACTGATCCCTCCCTTTTGTGTTCAAAGCAGTCTGCCTGGTTGAAGCTATCAACACTTCTAAAAGAGGAATCTTCCATGCTTGGTTGCCATAAGCCTTTGCTCATTCTCTGAGGAGGCATAAGTTAATGTTATCCCTTAGTAAGACACCTGGGCCTCTCTCCATTGCTTCTCTGGCCTCTTGACTGTGGCTGTGGGCATCTTAACACCTCAAACATTATTGCAGAGAAGGGAATTCCTTCCATGGCCAAGGATATCAAATTTATTTTATTTCAAACCATTTACAGACATCATCCCATGAGAGTTTCCAATGTTTCAACAACTTTCTCCTTTGACTGTCACTATCAATCTTAGCTGGTTTTTAGATCTTGCCAAATTTGTGTTATCTAGGCATTCATAAGCGGTTAGATTTATTGAAGCTCTTTCAGGATAGCATTACAGCATAATGTTTGAGTCACAGTGACTTCATTCAAGTGGACTGGTCCTCTTCTAAAACAGACACGTTGATACCATATTTCCAGTTAGCTGAACTGTGGTCTTCTATCCTTCCAAACTCTGTGTTACTTTCTTCTAATGTGTATTATGTCTCAGTCACATATTTTGTCAAAAACCCAGGAACTCGGTTCATCCTCCACATTCCTGTAACTCATACCTTAACTTCTCTTGATGAAATTCATAAGTCCAAGGATCAAATATTTGGGTTCTGTCCCAGGAAACAAGCATGTGGGACATGTGCCTTCTTCCTTAGTATAGGTGATATTGCTGCGAGAGTTAAGAGGAATGAGGAGTTACTGGCAGGAAAAAGGAGAGCCTGTGAAACCAGGAATCACTTCCCAACATGCTCTCCTCTGCTAGTACAGAGTGGAGGGTGAGGTCAGTGTAACCATTCTCACCTCAATCACATCTTTCCAACAATTACATCTCCATTGTACTGAAGATGCTAACAGCCTCCCAGTTCCCCAGGCTTATAGTCTCCAAATCAGTGCCCTTATTTCTGTCTTCCTTGCTTCAATGCTGCCATCCAAAGTCCTATCAACATCTGATGCTATTTCTACCATGAATCTCTTCATTTTACCCTTTCCTTTCCATCTTCACAGGCTCCCTCCTCCCAGCTCTCTCCTGTGTCTTGATTGCTGCAACAGCACTCTCTTGGCTATCTCCCCTTATCCATCCCTGCCCAAATCCAGCTACACCCAAGCCAGAGTTCAAGCTTTCTCAGCCATCCTAGAGCCGGCCTCTTTACTAACCTGCTATGCTCCCCACTCACAGGAAAGTCCTGAATATACACCAAAACAAAGAACTACCCAGAGTCCACACAGCAAGGAGTTTGTCATAGCCCAGCCACATCCTGCATCTGCGCCGTGTCAGTCTGTTTCTGCTCTCTGCCCTGCTGCTGCATGTCTTTCCTCTTGCTCTCTGTCTGCTGCAGCTTCGTCCCTGGTGTGTGCACTCCTGGCCCCTCCTTCCCCCAGCTTAAGGCTGTCTCCTCCCTGCCAGTGGATGCTTTGCTGTGATGGCTGGAGGTTTTGGCTCTCCGACCTGGCCTTGGGCCCTTCTCTCTGAATTATCCTCATGGGACCTTCTGGCCAGCGTGCCCTTGTGTTCCTGGAACCCACATCCTCTTAGCTTTGCCTCTAAGTGAATCAATGTTGAGTAATTTCTGCTGTGTTGGAGTGAAGACACCTGGATTTTTGTTCTGGCTGTTCATGAATTTGATGTGGAGCACTAAATAAGAGATGGGCTGCCTGTGCTGGCCCTCTTCAGATGCCAGCTCTGTGCATCCTCACCACCTTGCATGCTTTGCACATGACTCCCCGCCCCATATTCTCTTCTCTGCCAGTTCCTGAGCCAGTGTCGACCAAGTCCCTTTCCCCTCTGAAGATGAAAAGATAAGGGGATGAGTCTTGTTTGTAATGTGGCATCCCTTGTGCCGTGGACCCCTGTATATCTATTGACCTGCAGTTTCCCCTTTGGCTCTGCCTCACAGAGTGTGGAAACAAGTGTGCTTGGGTTTTGCCGCAGTTTCCCCATTTGGACTCAGGTGTCCTTCTTGGGACAGTAGCCCTAACTTGCACACTGACTCTTTAGGAGGTCTGGTCATTTCCCATTACTTGAGGTAACACTAGCAAGTCAGTTTTCATCTCTAGGGAGTGTATGTAACACTACCTGCCATTTAGTGGACTCTTACTTTGCTTCAAAAATTAATTATATTGGACTTTTTGAATGACCAAAAAAATTTTTTTTAACTACCAGTTGCATTATAGCACCTTTAAAAAATATGATCAAGAACCAAGGAGAAATCAGAAAGTAAACACCCCTAAGCTATCAGAAAAGGTATCCTTTACTCAGGAGAGAGTCCTGTAGGCTCTCACTCATAGTCTACTTTTCTTTCTTTACCCCAAAATTCTATCAGGAGGGCAGGGTAGAGCAGGTGCTCCTGTCTACACTCACTTTACCTCTTACTCACCTGATGGCTTCCTACTGCAAACACCTGCAGGCTTTTGATAGTGCCTGGGAGTTAAGGGCAGTGGTTCTAAGAGAACAATGGGCAAGATTTGGAGATGAAATCTAGGTTCCTGCCCCTTGTCTGGGACAGTTCTGCATAGTCTTATAGAAGTTCTGGCAGGACTGAAGCCCAGCTGTCCACAGGGGTTGAATAAATAACCTCTCAGGAATGCACCTGGATGGGCTTCCTGGTACTTCCTGAGATTGCCTCCCAAACAACTACCTCTCAAGTCCTTAACTCAGGGTCAGCTTCTGGAGAAACTTATCCTAAGACATGCTGCAAGAACGAAAAGCCAAGAAATGATGGAAAGAGAAAATAGCAGAACTCTGAAAAAATGCAGACACCAACTAAAGTATTTTGGGGTCCTGTAGCCCTTTAACAAGGACCACTGGAACACAAAGATATGTGGCATAGTTTCTCTACACACTGAGGGCTGGTGTGTAGTGATCTGGGTAGAGTGTATTCTTTTTAAGAGGCCCCAGGAATACGTAAGATATTTGAGAAAAGGTTCTACCTGAAAAGTGAACATAGGTTGTGATACTTAAAGGAATGGTTTGTTGGCTATCTAGAATCTTGAGTTTACTGAATGCCCCTTTCCCTGACGACCAGGATTTATTGGATTTTTAGTTGAATAAAATTCATTGCCGTTAAGACTCAAAGCTCCCAGTTCTTGCAGTTTGGTGCTTTAAGATTCATTTCCTTTATGTTTTTCAGTCTTTGATGCTGTCCCTTCTCATCTCCTGTTGCATAATGGAATTAGTTTTTTGTTTTTGTTTTTTAAATATGGCTTCCCACAGAAGCCCCCTTTCCTTCTCGGTCATTTCAGTGTCCTTTCTTGAGCACCATTATCTCATTCCTGGGGTAAGGGGATCAGTTCTGCATTCAATATTCCAAAGGCCAGTACAGTGCACTGAGATTTGTACTTCTGCTTTGTTTCCAATCCAAAATGATTATTTTTTTTTCAGTTTTCATCCAGATGTTTGATATCATGTAAACACAGCTTGAAAGTGTTCCTGAACTGCTTACAGATGTATGCCAGTGACACCCTTTCCAAATTATATATAATGATTCTCTGGGTCTATTTATATCCATGTCATAGTCTCTGGCTTGAATTTTAGCTATAAGACTAAGTTGAAAGAAAGTGAAAAATTCATGTGTATGAGTAAATTATCCACTTGATTAAAGACTCCAGATATTTGGAAATGTTCAGGGATTGATGCCATTTTCCACTGAATGCTGACATGTCTGTAACCATGGTGTTATGCCTGGATGTTTGTGTCCATTCCAAACTCACATGTAGAGGCCTAGCTTCTATGTGATAGTATTGGAAGAGCAGGCCTTTGGGAGGTAATTAGGGTTAGATGAAGTCACGAGGGTGGGACCCTTATAATGGGATTAATGCCCTTAGAAGAAGAGACACAAGAACTCTCTCACTCTCTCTGCTCACGAGAAAGGTCAGCTGAGTACACAGCCAGAAGGTGCCCATCTGCTACCCAAGGGTAAAGCCTCACCAGAAACCAATCATACTGGCACCCTAATCTTAGACTTTCAGGCTCCAGAATGGTGAGAAAATTCGTTTCTGTTGTTTAAGCCACCTAGCCTATGGTATTTTGTGATGGCAGCCTGAGCATACTAGTATATTTGAGGACCCAGATTCTGTTGAGCCATTTAGTTTACGGTCACAGTGACTCTCAAATGTGCTGTATCCCTATTTAGACTATACCTAATAGACCAACCTATTTAGACTTATTCATCTAGTGTTGACACCAAAAAGATACCCTTTAAGGACCAAGGGTCTGCTCAATTCTTATCAAAGGCTTTATTGCAAGATATAGTATGTATAGGTGATTGCATAGAGGATGTTGTAGAAAATTCTGTTTTCCAAAGATGGCGGCAACCATACCTCCCATCCACATGCTTTTTTATAATGTGATGACATACCTTCTACCAAGAAGTGGGGTCTATGTCCCTTTTCTTTGAATCTGGGTGGGCTTGTGACTTGCTTTGTAACCAACCAAATTCAGTGAAAGGGACTTCGGATAACTTCTGAGGCTAGGCCATAAAAGACTATCCAGCTTTTGTCTGGCCCTCTGGGACATTCACCTTTGGAGCGCTTAGCTACCACAGAAGAATTCTGATTACTGTCAACCTCCATGCAGTGAGGCAGGCTGGGCCATGTGGATGAGCCATGTGTGAGTTCCCCTGTCCCAGCCAACAGCCAGCACCAGCCATCAGCTGCATAAGTAAAGACGCTTCCAGATTCCGGCTTTCACATTGCCCCTGTGTGAACACCAAATATCACAAAACAGAGCAAGCTATCCTTGTTGTTCCCTATCCACATTACTCTTGCTCAAAATTGTAAGCAAACTAAAATAGTAATTTTAAGCCACTAGGTTTTGGGGTAATTTGTTATGCACCTATAGTAACTGGAACAAATGTACATCTCATTGATTCCTCTTGCCAGGAAGATCCCACACCTGAATCACACTAGTCCAGCAGAAACCTACCTTGCTTAGATCTTGTCTTCAGCTGCTCTTGGGTGTGGTGCCCTGGTTTGTACCAAAAGGCAGGGTCAGAGGCAGCTATTTTGTAGAGATACTGTTGAGGATGGAACAGAGTTCACTTAGGCCTTACTGCAAGAAAAACTGTGCTTTCTTGAAGGAACTGGTATCTTGCAAACATTGTGATTCTTGTCATTGCTCAGTTTTCCCTCTTTGCTTTGGCTTCTCTAATGCTTGGGACCAATTTTGGAACCAACTTGTAATAATTAATCTTATCTCTTTATATCCTGCTGTATTTATTTTTGTGGCCCCTCAAAATACTTCTGGAACAACATGAGGTAAGTGAATTAATGAAGGGAAAAAATGTCCCTCAAATCACTGTAATGTTTGAGATTATTTTTAGACTGAGCTAGTTCCAACATATAACTTTATTACAACTAAAAACCAAACATACTTTATACTCTCTAAAACAAAAATGCAAGAAGCTAAAAGGGGTAGTCTAAGCCAGATATTAAAAGAAATAATCATCACTACAAGGCAACAAAATATCATGTAGTAAGCAAAATAATGAGATCTTTAGACAGGAAAAATAATATTTCTTGAGCACACACTGACTCCCAGGCACATATTTTCTAGGTCCTTTAGGTACACAATTTTATTTAACCCTGATAAAACAGCTCCAGGGGCATGCAGCTATCTTATTTTGCTGAAGGCATAGATCAGATCCTATTCATGTGAACACCATGCAGATATAATTCTTTTGTGGAGATGGGGTTTCGTTGTAATTAGTCATGGCCCAGAAGAAATTCAGTGCCCTGGCAGGGAAGGTGAAGTCACAAGAAGGAATAGTGACATTCCTGCAAGGGATAGCCTCTTACACAACCATTACTTTCTGAGCTCACACTTTCAGAACAGGATGTTTCATTTTCTTTCTTCTCTTCCACATTATCACCACTGTGCCCTGACCTCCTCTGGAAAATAACAATGCTTCTTCAATGAGGCTCCCTGGAAACCTCTCAGATGTCGGCCAGACTGTGGGTGAGGCTTCTGTCATTCCCAACTCTGACAGCCTGCTTGTTTCTGGGCACTGACACACAGAGGCATGCCATTTCTCCCCACATATGGACGGGAACTGGGAAATGTGTTCTTGGTACCAAAATAATTCCTCTCAATGGATTCAGTCATGAGCAGATCAGGCAAGCATCGTGACCATGGGCTTCTGGGTGGGGCTTAGACATTCTTGCATTTTGTGTCATGAATTGTTCACTGTAATGATACCCTGCTTGCTGCCCTCTTGGTGAGGCAGTGATTTTAAGCACCAGAAAGGAGAAACCCTGACCTGTGGGTAAGAACTCCATCCAAGACCTAACCACAAGCTGCTGTTTATCTGGGTAATACTGCTGAAACTATGACTTAAATTCTCAAATTTCTCTAATGACTTGT